TACCTGAGACTGGGAAGAAAAAGAGGTTTATTTGGACTTACAGTTCCACATGTCTAGGGAGGCCTCAGAATCATGGCAGGAGGTGAAAGATACTTCTTACACGGTGGTGGCAAGAGAAAATGAGGAAGAAGCAAAAGCAGAAACCCCTGATAAACCCAGCAGATCTTATGAGATGTATTCACTATCACAAGAATAGCACAGGAAAGACCCGGCCCCTATGATTCAATTACCTCCCCCTGGGTCCTCCCATAACACTGGGGAATTCTGGGAGATACAATTCAAGTTGAGATTTGGGTGGGGACATAGTCGAACCATATCACTGCTATAATGTGGACACCCCATGAGAAAGAATTGTCCCAAGTCTCCATGGTTTTCAAGCTTCCCACAGGCATTCATGAGGGGGAAAACGTTTCCTAAATATCTCCAGCTAAGAACCCCATTTTACATAGAAATACAAAATACTTTTTCACAGTTTTCACATTTGCTGAATTTTCCAGGAATGCAACTATCATGTAAATTGAGAGCAGTTTGTACTTCATCTTGTTTAAAACTCTACTAAGAAGCTGCTCACTATTTGGGAAAAATAAGATCACCTATAACAATGTTGTCCATGGTATTTGAGTAGCCAAACACATACCTCTATCACTCTGCCTTTGCAACTTTCATAAGCAACCATGTAACAGAGCTGCTTTGAGTCTCATCTTAACTGACAACCAAAAAATTATGAAATTAGCAGAGACACATGACATACTTCAAAAGAATTATTTTAAAATGTTTTATAGGCTGGGTGCAGTGGCTCACACCTGGAATCCCAACACTGGGAGGCTGAGGCAGGTGGATTGCTTGAGCCCAGGAGTTTGAGGCCAATCTGGGCAACACGGCAAAACTGTCTCTGCAAAAAAACAAATAAGATAAAATAAAATAATCAGGTGAGCATCGTGGCATGTGCCTGTAGTCCCAGCTACTTGGGAGGCTGGGGAGAGAAGACTGACTGAGCCCAGGAGGTCAAGACTGCAGGGAGCTGTGACTGCACCACTGCACTCCAGCCTGGATGGCAGAATGAGACCCTGCCTCAAAATAAATAAAATATTTAATGATAGCTATCAAATGTATATTACTTTTGTTACCTAATGGAAAGAAATACATTGCGAAATTGCATACTGTGATGACTCATTCCTTAGTTGCCTACAGCTTCTCAGTCTTACTCAGATACTGTCTCCAGAGGTCTACCACAGCCTCCCAGCCCTTATTTCACTCTGTCTCTTTCCAGTCCCTTCTGTCTGCCCCATTGACCATGGAAGCCGACGTCTCCAAAGCTTTCTGTAAATTAAGGAGCTCCATCCAGGAGCTATGATCTTGGCCATTCTCAGTCACAACACTGTCCCGTGTCAAAAGGTAGGAAATTATTTTGACACTACACTTGGAGGTGAGCTCTGAGTTCACCTGTGAGGATCTCACACTTGCCCATTTCTGACAGTCTACCTTTCTTTGGGCGTATATGATGACTTCACGTAAGGTTACCTTCTCTTTCTTGCATCATACAGACATAATTTTGGCCTATTATTTACCCTACTGCATACTCCTCCCTTTACTCTTTCATTTTCTGTACTGTTTCTACAGATGAGCTTCCGATCCTCTTCACTTCTTGTGAAACCAAACATTATAAGCAGGTGCAAACATTGTTTCATATGTTTTCCAAAGTAGCTGTGCCTGAGCATTTATGTATTACATATTTTTTCATAATTACTTCTCTTTTATCCCTCCTTAATGCTGTAATTGGGACATTATGTATGTTTTAAAATTATGTGTGTGGGTAGCTTTTATTTCTATACACAGAGGGGACATTACAAAATATCCACTGTGGGCCAGGCATGGTAGTTTGTGCCTGTAATCCCAGCACTTTGGGAGGCTGAGGCAGGAGGCTCTCTTGAGCCCAGGAGTTTGATACCAGCCTGGGCAACACGGTGAAACCCTGTCTCTACAAAAAATACAAAAATTAGCTAGGCGTGGTGGCGTGTGCCTGTAGTCCCAGCTACTTAGGGGGCTGAGGTGGGAGGATCCCCTGGCCAGGGAGGTAAAGGTTGCAGTGAGCCATGATCTCTCCACTGTACTCCAGCCTGGGAAACAGAGTGAGATCCTGTCTCAAAAAACTTAAACAAACCAACCCACAAAATATCCATTGTGAAAAGAAGATGGCTGTTGTGTCTGGTAAGAGGAGAACGTGTGCTCTGACAGAAACAACTGCTTGTCATATCAAAGGTGGCTTGCACTATCTGAGGCATGTTGTGAAGACGGGAAGCAACATGATGGGGGCACTTTTTAAAAAAATCCCTTGCGGAAGAGTTGAGGGAATTGAGGTGGCCAAGCCCAAAGCATCCATAACATTCGGTCCTCAAATACCTCAAAGGCAATTGAGCACACTGAGGTTTGGATGGGCTCAGGGTGGCCCCAGGGGACAGAAACTTGGCCAATGGGAATATTCTCAGAGAGGCGGATGTTCATTCAAGATGTTAGTTCAGATCTCTGAGGGTTCCTAGACTAAGATAGGGAATGATTTGCTTAGTTAAGGCTGCCAGCAGTGGGATCCTCATCTTCCCCTCTGCCCTCCGCAGTTGCTATTGAAAGTGTTCAAACAGATGCTGGAGGCTGTAGAGGGGCGACTCTGAGAGGTGTCCAATCTGGACCCATCTGTGTATGGAAGAGCTTCAGGGTGTCACCTCTGGAACCATGATGCTGGGGTCCAAATTTTATGCCAGCAGCTTCCTAATGAGGTGACAATGGGGCCACTTGATTTCTCTGTGTCTGACTTTCCTCGTGTGTAGAATGGAGGTGATGCTTTAAAATCCCCTTCTCTGAGGGCTCTTATGGCATAGACTAAGTACTCAGTAGATGTCAGCTGTTTCTGTTAATCTTTACAAAGCACCGCAGGGAGAAACAGAAATAAGAAACAGAGTCCTAAGAACTTTTCACTTCCCCATGAAGACCCAGTAATAACATTTTTAACCTTGGGTTCCAAGAAACTTTCCTGTATTATTATAGGATAGTTCCTTTTTGTGTTTGTGCTAATTCAAGGTACTTTCAGTTACCTGCAACCAAAGTAGTTTGACTAATACAGACAAAGAGGATCTAAAATACCTACTGAAAATAGGGCTAAGAAAGTAAGAAGAGCTGACAAAATAGTGCCAGCATTTAGGGGTCAATATGGCAGCAGACTCCAGATCTTGCTTGGCGGGCCCCTCTACCAGAACTTTCCACTAGAATACCTTTGAGTGTACACAAAACTTGATGAACTTGCCATACCCCTGGACATTAGAGAGGGGAGAAAACCATGTTCCAGAATATGGGGGAATTTCCACTGCTTTGGGGTGGATGAGGTTGGGTTGAAAATTACCCTTGTGAGCCATACCTCCCTGGTCCCTGGACCAGCACAGTCATGGACGGCTAGAGAGAAGGTAGTTTCTGACATGCCTCAATTAGAAGTCCCCATTAATAGCTTGACAACCCTTCTCTGAGCCGACCAACTTGTCTTTTGTGTGTGAACGTAGCAAGGATAGTCTTAAATAGGCAAGGGCTCAAAAAATATGCCATCCTATACCTTCCTGAAAACATCACTCAAATAGGAATCTCATGCTGTTAAGTATTGAAGCCAATTGAACATACACATAATTCTTTCCAATATGGTTTCAAAACTGATACAGAAATAAAACTCTTGAAAAAGATCTGTATGAGCAAATACTTCACATATTTTAGAAATAACAAACTAAAAAAGAGAGCATGTGAAAGGAAGGGGGTTCTGTACCCAAGGGCAAAATTTGTTCTTAACTTTAATAATGAGAGAAATTGATTTAAACATGTAGCTCACAGTGGCTCATGCCTGTAATCCCAGCACTTTGGGAGGCCGAGATGGGCAGATCACGAGGTCAGGAGATTGAGACCATCCTGGCTAACACGGTGAAACCCCGTCTCTACTAAAAAATACAAAAAACTAGCTGGGCGAGGTGGTGGGCGCCTATAGTCCCAGCTACTCGGGAGGCTGAGGCAGGAGAATGGCGTAAACCCGGGAGGCGGAGCTTGCAGTGCGCTGAGATCCGGCCACTGCACTCCAGCCTGGGCGACAGAGCGAGACTCTGTCTCAAAAAAAAAAAAAAAAGGTAACCTCACATAGTCTTAAAACAGAATGTCTACATCAAAATTACTATAGAAGATGAAAGCAAATAAAAGATACCATATACCCCACACAACATGAGATGCAAACCAAGAAAATAACAAAGACGGGTAATGAGTAGGAAGTGTAATCAAGGCAACTGAAGCAGGACCAAGAGTCAAGAGTAACAACAGGATTATCAGGGGTTAATGACAAGTAGGAGAAAACACCATACACATATGGATGTAATTATTTAAAACATGTATTGAGGAGTCTGTAAGGAAAAGCGTTTAAATTGGTTGCATCTGCTTGCATGTGAATTTCTTCCGTTTCTTTGTCCTTTTCTGGGGTTTGCAATTTGTCAACAATGAACATGTATTGCTGTACAAGGCTCACTACTGCAAGCGATAGAAACTAACTCTGACCTTTTTTTTTTTTTTTTTGAGACAGAGCCTCGCTCTGTCACCCAGGCTGGAGTGCAGTGGCATGATCTCGGCTCACTGCAACCTCTGCTTCCCAGGTTCAAGCGATTCTCCTGCCTCAGCTACTCAGAGTAGCTGTGACTACAGGTGCACACCACCTGGTTGAATCCAGGCTGTGAGCTGGAGTGTGGAGGGAGGGAGGAGCCCGCCTTTACTGCCGTAGAGAGGAGCAGTGCTCGGGGTTCCATCAATACCACCCATGTGGGGGGTGCCCCAGAGGCAGGGAGGGAGCCAGGTGCTGCATAGCTTTTTTAAAAAGATAAACATTTGGCACAATTACATTTACAGATAACCAAAAAAATGCCCAGCTAATTTTTGTATTTTTAGTAGAGATTGGGTTTCACCACGTTGGCCAGGCGGGTCTTAAACTCCCGACATCAAGTGATCCACCCCTTGGCCTCCCAAAGTGCTGGTATTACAGGCGTGAACCACCACGCCCAGCCAAACTCTGACTATTTTAAGTTTTTTTAAAAATGAGAGAATTCATTAGAAGGTTGTTGAGAGTTTACTAAATCAAGGAGAGGCCTAAGGAACTTGCCTGGGATGACAGTAATGACAGCAGCTTGTTTATGGTTTTTATGTCCTGGTTTTACTTATGAAGGGGGCAAACTGATTCTTAGTACTCCCACCCAAAGTGTTCTCACGAAAGTATTCAGTGCTGGTCCTTTACTCTGCTGAAACTACTGGGAATGCGTCCTCTCTCCTCCTATGCATTCCTCTAGCTGGTTTTAAGGACTTGGTGAGTATATCTGTCTTAGGGTTCTCCCTATAAACACAGGCAATCAGCAGTAGAAAGAGAGAGAGGAAGTAGGCCAACAGGATGGAGACCCAGGGAAGAGGAGATGCTGTTGGAGTCTAAAAGTTGTCTATTGGCAGAATTCCCTCTGCTTAGGGGAACATCAGTCTTTCCCTTGAGGTTTTCAGCTGATAGGAAGAGGCCCACCCACACCATGGAGAGTAATCTGCTCTGCCTAAAGTTAACCAATTTAAATGTTAATCTCATCTAAAAAAATACCTTCACAGTAATTTCTAGACTAAGCACTTAACCAAACATCTAAGTACCATGGCCTAGCCGAGTTGACATATAACATAACCATCCCAGCATCCAGATGGTTGAATCCAGGACGTGAGCTGGAGCATGAAGGGAGGGAGGAACCCACCTTTACCGCTGTAGGGAGGAGCAGTGGTCGGGGTTCCACCAATAACACTCATGCGGGGGGTGCCCCAGAAGCAGGGAGGGAGACAGGTGCTGCATAGCTTTTTAAAAAGATAAACATTTGGCACAATTACAGTTACAGATAACCAAAAAAAATTTTTTTTTCTTTACGAAGGACTTGTAAGTTCAGCAGGAAGGCCTCGGTGAGATTTGGAGGCTTGAGTCGTGTAAGCATGGTTTTGTGACTGAATGAAGTGGTAGCTCCCAACCGACACACACCCAGTACTTTCCACTTCTAGCCTTGGCTAGGTTGGGTGACTGCATCCCAAGCCGCTCATCACCCAAGCCAGGAGCTGGCCTTCATCCTGACCCGCCCTCTGGCTCACTGGTGTACCAGCAGTCACCAATCCCACCATCTCCCGTGTCTCTCCCCTCCATCCCTGGGGCCGCCATCCTGACCCAGGTTCTCATCGTCTCTCACCTGCACTCTTACCTGAACCTCCTGGTTGCTCTTTCTTCTCAGCTCTTTCTTTACCATCGCTGACCATCCTTCACATGCCTCCAGGCTTCACTTTCTAATAAACCACCCACACACTGCCGCCCCTCACCTTGCCAATTACCTGCCTCCATGTGGGCTCCCAGAGTGTGAGAGGGTCTGCTCCAACTTCCAGACGTAGGGGACTCTGGACCCAACCGTCGAATGTGCTGTGATCAGTGGAGCTGCCAGGTCCATCACGTTCCACCACAAATGAGGACAGAACACAGGACACAAATAAAAAGTTGGAAACTATAGAAGTTTAAATAAATAGACCTTTCCCACCTCAGGAGGTGAAATAAAACAGATTCACTCCATTTTGCTCAAAATGTTTTTCTGGATAATATTTTCACTCAATTTGCCTGTCTACAGCCCCTGTTGTATACTCTATTATCTAAACATAAGTTTATGTTAGTCTATCCTACCTTCTTCCGTATTCATTTACATGTATATTCAACCATTCAACAAAGTTTTGTTGAGTGCCTATCCTCTGTCAGGCACTAGGTCAGGTGCTGAGTATACCCAGAAGTGTAAGATCGGGGCTATCTATTGTGGCTTCACACGTACATCAATTTTTCCTGGCCACAGGCTGGGTATGAAGCAAGCACCTGTTGCAGTAATAGGCACTCAACCCACTGTAATCTGTGAGTTGAAAGTTATTATTTGAATATTTTATTGGAATTTCATACAGAAAAATTAATAAAAATTATGGCTATCTCTTTCATCAGACTCTTAACAAGAAAGGATAAACAGCCGAAACAGTGTTAGCCTAAAATTGAGCTACTCTATAAATTCTCATCATTTTAAAAAGAAAAAATAGAAGGCATTTCTTTTCCTTGGCTTCTTGTTCTGCTCTGGTTGGTAAAGCCATCACCTCCTTATTTCTGTTCCTCCATTTCTGCATGTGCCGTAGGTTACTGAGTTGCCTATCTTCAACAGATGTGACAGTTACTCAAACCCTCCAAAATATTTGATCATTGTGGGGAGAAGCACATTTGTGAAACATTATTCCATGGATATAATTTTGGCTTTGCAACATTTAGTGGAAAAAATAAAGGAAGCATCCTGACGTTTTCCTCTAAATACTCACATGGTCTACAACTCTAAAATGAATTTCATTTAAAAAAATATAAAGCAAATCAAACATCCATCTGTATCCTACCCTCTACCAAATAATCTTAAAATCAAGTAAAAACTGGCAGCTGGTAGCATGCAAACCAACCGTTTGTTTGTTTTGATGTAGTCAGAAGCAGACGATTTAAATCACCTGCCAAACATTTACTTTGTTTCTGAAATTTAAATACAGTTGTCATGGCAACACAACATTTGGATGATCTGAAAACTGGGACAACTACATTTTTGGACCCAACCTCCTTTCTATGTCAATCTAAACAATATATAAATATATATTTTGACTTCAGCCCTGGAAAAGCCCAGTACAGTTCTTGCAAAAATGTAATTACTAATCACCAACAGTGAGAATACCTGTAGGAAGATTGAACACCTTTCCCAAGATGGTTCCAACTGATTATTCCAACTGCTTTCCACTGGCCCTGCTCGGCCCCTCCACTCTGGCCCAGCTGCCTTCCTACCCAGGCCTTTAATGAGTTACCTGCATTCCTACCATTGCCCTTTCTTGGCTTCACCCTGTGCCTTTCCAACCTAAAGGAAGGCTCTTTCCTCTTCACACCATCTAAGTAATTTCCTTCCATCCTTCAAAGATAGGAGCAGCTGTCATTTCCTCCTTAAGCCTCCCTTGACCATGACAGTTCACACTCTTTACTGCACAGCGATAGGAAAAGGACTCTATCTGAGTGGGGTAGGGAGAAGGGAGACCCTTCACTTCCTCAACATTTAAAAAATGTGGCTGTTGCAATTGCATTCTAACTGATCCCCAAGTCATGAGTCACTTTCTTCTACAATACATTATTAGATCTACCAGAATTATTATAAAATAAATTTGATCATGTTTCTCTGTCACTTAAAACATTCAGTTGTAAATCCTAAAATGATGAAAGATCTAAAACTCAGGTCCCAGAAACATGGCATATTTAGCTAATGCAGACCCTACTCTTTCTTTATCACATCTCCCCACAAACACATAGAAACACTACATAAAATATAGCAAAATTATTTAAAATGCATAGCTGAGCTCAAAAGCTCAAGTACCAGAAATAAAGAAGGAACTTAATGTCAGAATGAGAAGTAAATTTATAACTTGAGGTCTCAGATATTGGGATGAGGTCAGGAATTGGATTTGCATTTAGGCCCCAAAGGCTAGGGAAGGGATTTTAATACTCAAGTAAAGGCAGGAGGTGTCATCCTGGGCCCACACGAGGTAAAGAGCTGGAACTAAGACCCCCAAATAAACTAAGACTCTGGAGAAGCTATCCTTTCAATGGAAGAGGGATTAAAAAAAACTCTATATTTTCCCAAGAAAACAACAATAAAGTGTACCCTAGCCAGGGTCCTGAAAGGAAAAAGATTCCCAGTGAAATACTGAAGTTCCAAACCTGCATTATGCAGAGGTGTGGAGTCAAAATTTACAGTGCCTTCATTGTGTGAAAATTTACAAGCTAAATTTTAATATGAAAATTAGTCTCACACTGGTGAAATCTCTGGTTACCTGGCAGAATAAAATATAAAATACTTCCCAAAGATATTTTCTTAGTTGAAAATACAAGTGACTTTCTCAGGAAAAAAAAAAAAATCCTAAAGAAATGAGCTCAGAAACAAAAACTACAAACCACAGGAAGAAACAATTCACCACAGACACAATAAACAAAAAGATTAGCAAGAACTTGATATTATAGTAGAACTGGAAATGGCTGGTAAAGTAAGTCTTTAAAATTATATTTTAAAAAGATATCATCATTTAAAAATAGGACTATGTAACCAGATCCATATAGCTCCTCTAGAAATAAAAATACATATTTTTTGAAATTTAAAATTCAATTGCTAGGTTAACAACAGATTGGACTTACTAAGGAAAGACTTGGATGTTTAAGAAATATCCCGGAGTACAACATAGAAAGATAAAGAGATGGGAAAAATGTAAACAGGTTAAAAGACTTAGAAGATAAACTCAAAGGTCTAATATACATCTCCATCAGTTAGCTTTTGTTGCCTAACAAACCACTGTATGTCTGTTTATGATGTTTTTGCCTCTCAACTCCAAATTCACCCTTTTTGCCAACTCTGTGAAAATGGATCTGAGCCCTTTAAACAGGTTTTCTTTGCCATATAGCTTGATATTAAGCTACGTCAGTAGAGGGCACCTGGAAGAGCAAGGAGTTTTTCCCTCTCTTCTGGTATGCTCATGATGTGCATGGCGTCCTTAGAAGTGAGTTCCTGATGTGTGGGCAGTGTGCCCAGCACCAGGCTTCTACAGGTCTCTCATCTTCTCCAGAGCACAGATCCTGCAGGGCGCAGCCACGAGCAGCACTTAATGCCCGGAAAACATCAGAGAATACATATGTCAACAGTAATTGGAATAAAAGAAAGGACATTGCTAATGATTTTATAGACATTAAAAGGATAATAGGAGAATATTATTAATAGCATAATGTTAATTAATTTGGTAATTTAGATGAAATGAAAAATTCCTTGAAAGACACATATTGCCAAAACTGAATCAAAGTAAAAAAAAAAAAAAAAGGATGCAAATAAATCTCTATCAGCCAAAGAAATTGAATTAGTAATAAAAAATCTTCCCATTAAAAAGAAAAGCTTAGACCTTTGACTCTATCGGGTCACTTAACATTAACCAAAAATGTTCAAGATAATAATACTGTGTTGGCAGAAGATTAGACTTACAGACTGACGGAACAGGATAGAGAGCCCTGAAACAGACCTCATATTGATGCTTAACAAAGTTTTCCAGGCATTTCAATGGGGGAAAAGACAGTCCTTTCAACAAATGGTGTCTTAACAACTGGATGTTTGCATATTTAAAAAAATGAACCCCAATCTTTAGCTCACATCATACACAGAAATTAGCTCAGAATGGTTCATGGACCTAAATGTAAGAGCTAAAGCCATAAAACAAATGAGAAAATCTTCATGATCTCATGGTAGGCAAAGATTTCTTAGAGCATAAACTGTAAAAGAAAAAAATGATAAGTTGGACTTATTTTGGTTTTTGAAAGATACCATTGAAAATAAAAAGGCAAGAAATATATGAAAAGGAATTTGGGGAAAATATTTACAAAATAAGTATCTGATAAAGAACATATATAAAACAGATTAAGAATTTTGCCTCTAAATAACAGGAGAACCCAATTTTAAAATGCGCAAAAGATTTGAACAGATACTTCACAAAAGATGCTATATTATATGATGCTCAACATCGTTAGTTACCAGGGAAACGCAAATGAAAACAATGAGATGTAACTGCATGCACAGAACGACAAAAACTAAAAAGACTGACAGTACCATGTGTTGGTGAAGATGTGGAGCAACTAGAACTCTCACACGTTGCTGTTGGGAATTGGAAAGGAAAATGGTATAGTCATTTTGGAACACTATGTCATCTTACTATACAGTTGAACATCCTCTTATTATATGATCACTCAGTTTCATTTCTAGGTCCATACTCACGAGAAATAAAAACACACGTCTACAAAACACTGGTATGCAATGTTTATAGTAGCATTATTCACTACAGCCCTTAACTGGAAACAGCCCAAATGTCTATCAAGGAGTAAATAAATAAATAAATTGTGGCATATCCATTGAACAAAATACTACTTGGCAATAAATAAGAATGACAGCTGATATACACAACTGCGTGAATGAATTTTTAAAAATATCATGCTAAGTAAAAGAAGCCTGCCACAAAATACTACATACAGTATGGTTTAATTTGTATAGCATTATATTATAAAAGACAAAAATATAATGACGGAAAGTGGGCTGTGTGGGACAAGAGCTGGAGATAGAAAATTGATTACAAGTGGATATGAGGAAACTTGCTTGGAGGTTTTATATTTCCCTGTGGGGGTGGTAACTTGTCTGTATATATTTCAAAACTCGATGAATTAAACACTTAAAATCACTGAATTGTATTGTATATAAATTACTCCCTAATAAAGCTGTTGGGAAAAAATTCCAAGGTCTTTTGTGATACTGTTGAGCTGTGGAATCAATTAACTATAAAATCTGCCCAGGCTACTTGCAAGCGAAGTCATTCTAATCAACCTAACTGATAACCGTTCCCTTAACTCTTCGGTTATTGCATTGTAACTATTTGCTTATTGTTCCTTTCTCCACTGACTTATGAAATCTTCAGGAATGGAACCCTTGATGTTGGTTTTTGTTTTTTTTTTTTTTCTGTCTAACATACAGAAGGAATTTTGCACATTCCTGCTGAATAGCAATTGATGCGCTCTCTCTCTCCGGCAAAGCTCATTTAAAACTATAGTTTGGCTGGGCGCAGTGGCTCATGCCTGGAATCCCAGCACTTTGAGAGTTCAAGACTGGAGCATCACTTGAGTCCAGGAGTTAAAGACCAGCCTAGGCAACATAGTGAGCTTCCATTTCTAAATAAAAAATAGAAAAAATTATCCAGGTGTGGTGGTACACACCTGTAGTCCCAACTACTCAGGAAGCTAAGGTGGGAGAATCACTCGAGCCCAGGAATTGCAGGCTACAGTTAACTATGATACCATCACTGCACTCCAGCAGGACCCTGTCAAGGAAAAACAAAACAAAACAAAAAATAACCAAAACTATAGTTTGATACTATTTTTTTTCCTTGAATCACCTTTTATTGATGCCTGTGTTTCCTCACTCCTTATTAATGAAACAAAAGATTTACCTTCCTTAAAGTGAGTAAAGATGCAACTAACACCAACTCACAAAAAAAGAAAAGTACAGTTTTCTTGGAGTCATGAGGAGACAAAATGCTTGAGTCTAAAGAGTGGCTTGATGAAAATCAGTTTGCATTTGTGTCACCTCCAGAGATGGTTCTCCTGGGCTCCTTAAGAGGTCTTCAGACTTAAGGTCATTAGTGCAGTCTATGCTAGAGCCACAATTAGGGATCACCCCACTCTGCCATCCAGAAGATATGATGGTGTATTGCTGTACAAATTATTCAATATACTATAGTTGCTTAAAAAATAAAAAAGCATTATTGGAGTAGAGGCTAGTTGCTATAAATGCAGTGTAAGATGATTAGGAAGGTAAAAGAAAATGTACAAAGATAAGATAGGGAATAAGTGTGGGCTACCTTCAAATGTGGAAGTTAGCGATAATGGAGGTCATTGGACTACAAACTTTGGGACTCCACAGGGAACTCATTTTTTAAAAAGTCGGAGTCAAAGGTGATCCTAAGATTTCATGCTTGAGGGGAGAACATGGTGATTCCTTAAGCAAAATGTGCCTTGTTAAGTCTTTCATTCCCAGTAATTAATATAAAGTTATATTGATGATCTAGGGCCACAAAACAAATTACCTCATTATTCAGCAGCTTAAAACAACAGACATTTATTTGGGGCATGACTTAACTGGGTACCTCTGGCTGAAAGTCACTCTCGAGATTGCAGTTAGGTGTTACCCAGGGCTTATCTCAAGGCTCTAGGGCTGGAGAATTTATATGCAAGCTCCATCATGTGACTGTTGGCAGTCACAGTAAATTGGAAATCACAGTAATATCCAAACTTAGTCAGGTTTTTGCAGGCTGACCTCAGTTCCTTGGCCATGGAACTCTCTCCAATGGCTGCCTAGATATCCTCATGACACAGTAGCTGGTGATCAGAAAGAGAAAGACAGGGAATCATAGAGCAACCAAGATGGAAACCACAGTCTTTTTATAACCTAATCTTGGAAGTGACACCCATCCCTTCAACCCTATTCCATTCATTAAAAATATTTCAATAAGTTCAGCTCACATTCCAGGGGAAGGGATTTTAAAGGGAATGAATGGGGGAAAAGGGTATCATTGGGAGCTGTCTTAGAGGCTGCCTACCACAAAAATCTAGTGGGCTCTCAACAAATATATGTCCAATTAATGAAAGAGCTAGGAAATAGAGAAACAACAGTAAGACTGGGAGAAAATTTTGTGAGATTAATTTAGTTACATGTTTAATTTTGTGTCCCTGTGTGAGATTATGGCAGACAGTGTATTTATCAAACCCATTTCCTTCTTCCTCTGGACATACGACTAGACTGCACTTCCAGCCTTGCTTGAAACTTAGATGACGCGAAGTGCTTGGACCTGGCCAGTGTAAAGTGGGTGTAAATGGTTTCCCTCCTCCAGCCAGATGCTGATGTGATGATCTGGTGAAGGCCTCTGAAGACTTAGGGGATGGTACAGCCACTAAATGGAAAAGCCTGGGTCCCTGAATGACTGTGCAGAGCAGGACTCTCCCCAGCCTCCCAACCAACCAATATCTTTGGGAGTGGGGGAAATTTTAAGTTAAGCCACTGAAATTTGGGGGTTATTTGTTGTAATAGACAAGATACTATAAGATATTACAAAAATAGAGTAATTAAGACAAAGTGGTATTGACACAGAGATAGGAAATACAGCAATAGAATGGAATCTGGAAGCCAGAAACATGTAGTGTGATGCAGTTGGCATTGCAGATCAGAGAGGATACAGTGGTTTTGTTGGTTAATGATGATTAATTGACTGATTAGCCATGTTTAAGAAATTGAAGATAAATTTCCATCACCGTGCACAAAAACAATCCCACAATGACTTAAAGGTCAACATAGTTACTGTTAGTGATCACAGTGATCTGTGTGCAAGAAAAAAAAAAAAAAGGAAAAGGATAGAGTACAAAATTCCTACAAAGAATTTCTGAAAGTCAAAATTCATACAGTAAATGGCAGAATTGCCATGTACTGCCAATTTCTGTCAGACCCAGTCAGACACCCGAGGCCTCCCTCCAGGACTCCGTCCTGTTTCTGTCATGACATCCACTCTTGCCAGTGACTTGTCAGCCACTGCAAACCCCAAAAGGTCATATTCTCTTCCCCAGCACTCACAGCATAAACTAACCCTTGGTAGAGAGCCCAGGGTCATGTGTTCTCACAGCACACACTAGCCCTGGGTTTGAAAGCCAAAAAGATCAGGAGGTAGAGGGTGTGGGGACGGCGGCTCAGTGCAGAGTTATCCCCAAGAGGAGAGGAATTTACAACCCTCAGGGCTCCATGAGGAAGACAGGAGACCTCAAAAGGGGTCAGCAGCACCTCTCCTCATTCCTCAGAGGGTCTCAAGAGTTGTCAGCAGTGTGCTTTGGGTCCTTTGTGGTTGCCAGATACTGTCAAAAGACGTAATTACAACAAATTTAGTGTCAAGATCCTAACTGGCTTTTATTTGCAATTCTAGAATCAGGCAACGCTTCATGGTACGCTATAGAATATGCTTTAGAGCAGAGGACTTGGGCTTTCTAGACAGAAAAGGGGTGAGGAAAGCAGTATCAGAGAACAAAACGCACACTGGTCCTTTCAAAGTTACTGTCCTTGTAAAGATTAAAGCAGAAGGAACTTCCTTACTGGCTTGTTTGGGAATTTGCTATTATCTGTCTCTCTCCTGATTTTTTGGAAGGTCAGATAAACAACGTAGTTTTGGCTTGGTGGCACTCAAACTTCAGCGTGAGTCATTCCATTCTGGTTTGGTCTCTCAGGCCTAGTGCAGGAGCTCAGTCCAAACCAATGGCTTCCAGTAAATGTTATTTAACAGTTCCAAGTTCTTAGAGAAGGGAAGGGAGGAAATATTTCAGAACAGTGTGACTATAACCACTGGACAAATGAATGCCTTCAACTACAATAAGAGCCTTTTAACTGGTCTTCCTCTAGAGCGGGCTTGCCCCAAAGCATCCTACATGCCACTGCCAAATCTTCCAAAAACATTACTAAGATAATTTTTAATGGTTTCCCATGGCCTTCCAATGTCATAATCTGTCCTCTACCCATCCTTCTAGACTTATTCTCACATGACAACTTCTGAGCCAGTAAACACGGTCTAGCCGATGTCAGGGAAATGCAGCCTAAACTGCTTCCTTGTTGTGTCTTGATTCATGCCATCCTTCCTCCTTGAAAAATGGAGAATTTACCTGTCTTTCAGGAAAGCTCAGATCACACCTTCTTTTGAAGTTTCCTGAGTATTCCAATGGTAAGCGACAACTATCTGTGAAAAAAAACAATTGTCAGGGCCAGTGTCATGGGCCTGTACAGTTCACAAGGCCTCAAGAATAAAAGGCCCCATGGTTGGTTTAATTCTCTTCTGCTGTTTTGAAATTCTCAATACTTTTTTGACGAGGGGCCCTGCATTTTCATTATGCTGTGGCCTACAAATTATGCAGCCAGTCCTGATAACCATGTCCACTGAGGAAATAACTTGTATCCCTATCTTAAGTGATTTGGGCTGCCAGATCACAGATATCCAATGCCTTACAGAGTTAGTAACCACAGTACAAAAATACTCACTTCCCCTCCATTTCTGTCTAGTCAATCTATTGACTATCAGGCCAGTTTTATGCAAGAGATCAATAGGTCCTTAATCCCCCCTTTCTCCCCGATACAATTATATTTTCAAAAGAATATGCTAACTTAGTCTGTAATTGCCAAGTTTCAGTGAAGGCTTGGAGGCTGTGGCTGATCGCAAGGCTGGCGCTGGGGTTGGTGTGCCGGAGTTTGAGGCAAGAGCAGTGTGGTTTGACTGATTTCCCTAAATTGTTCTGCTCTTCACTGCTTTTTCTCCTTCTTTATTTCTGTAACCACAGGTTCTCTAAAACACAGGTGTTTCTCTTTTCTCCCAGTGGTTCTCATAGCCATAATAGGAGAGTTTTGTTTTCAGGAAGGAGCAGAGGACACTAAGTAAGAGTGAATAGCCAGCCAGGGCTGTCTGTTTTGTTTTGTTTTGTTTTGTTTTTTTTTTTTTTGAGACAGTATCTCACTCTGTTGCCCAGACTGGAGTGCACTGGCCTGATCTTGGCTCACTGTAGCCTGTTTCCTGGGCTCAAGAAATCCTCCTACCTCCCACCTCAGCCTCCCAAGTGGCTGGGACTGGAGGCACACGCCACCACGCCTAGCTAAATTTTATTTTTTGTAGAGACAGGGTGTTACTCTGTTGTTTGGGCTGGTGTTGAACTCCTGGACTCAAGCAATACTCCCACCTACCAAAGTGTCAGGATAATGGGCATGAGCTGCCACACCTGGCCCAGGGCTCTCTTAGGGTGTTAGGAGGAAGGTTTTCTTTTTCTCATGAGATTTTAAGTTCTAGGAGCACAAAATGCGTTTTTCAAGACTTTGAGCTTATCTACTATAGCACTTTGTACATTGTAGGCTCTCAATAGATAGCTTAGGCATGAAATAAGAAGCAGCTAATACACATATACACCATGGAATACTTCACAAACATAAAAACGGATGAGTTAATGTCCTTTGCAGGGACATGGATGAAGCTGGAAAACATCATTCTCAGCAAACTAGCACAGGAAGAGAAAACCAAACACCGCATGTTTTCACACATAAGTGGGAGTTGAACAATGAAAACACATGGACACAGGGAGGGGAACATCACACACCAGGGCCTGTCGGGGGCTGGGGGGGCCAGGGGAGGGATAGTATTAGGAGAAATACCTAACGTAGATGACAGGTTCATGGATGCAGCAAACCACCACGGCACATGTATACCTATGTAACAAACCTGCACATTCTGCACATGTATCCCAGAACTTAAAGTATAATAATAATAATAAGCAGCAGCTAATAGACCACACTAGCCATGAGAGGAACCCCTGTTTCCTAAACTCCTTGAGTGCCAAGCACCAGGCCAGGGCTCTTGTGTGCATCCCTCCAGTCAATGAACACACAATTGCCCCCTGAAAACCACCCCCTTACTGTGCAATATTGACACGGGAGGTAACAGGTAGATCATAACTATTTATAAGAACCATCTGTGTTTCTAAACAGTCATTTACTTAATATTTTTTAAATTAAGCTAGAATTTCTAAAGAGTATAACATTAAATTTGTTACCTGTTTTGAAACTAATGCAGTTTGTATTTCCTGAAATTGTGAGCTTTATGTACTCATTTACTTAAAAGGATATTTTGCATTTTGACATTTTCTTACTTCATCAAAGTTTTAATGATTTTAAAATGCAGAAAAGTTACTGATGTGCCTGGAAAAATCCTAAGAAACTAGAGTTAGGAACATTCTCTAGACACGTAAAAGAAGAGATGAAATGCACCAAGGGACTGAAATGAAATACAGTGGGGTAAAAGAAAGAGAATATTGAGGAATGAAATGAATGACTGAAAATAAAAAGAAGAAAGAAATGCCACAGGAGTGAGCAAATACAGATACTGGGTGTGATCAATACCCTGTAGTCATTGGAAAACAGCATCTTGGGAGATTTGTTACAGAACTGAGAGCTGCAAGAAGATATTGGCCACCACCAGCATGAAGCCTAGCACATCGTTGTAATAACTATTAAGATCTGTTAGAACTTTCTGCTACTCCAGTTAAAGTGAGTTTCACAGAATCTTCAAAACAAAGCCAGGACAATATTGCTATGCTATTGACTGAATGTTTGTGTCCTCCTTAAATTCAGATGTTGAAATCCTAACCCCTAATGTAATGGTATTTGGAAGTGAGGCCTTTGGGAGGTGATCAGGTCATGAGGACAGAGCTCTCATGATTGGAATTATGCCTCATAAAAGAGATCCCACAGCGCTCGCTCACCCTTCCACCACGTGAGGACACAGCGAGAAGACAGCTGTCCAGGAACCAGGGGGCACTCACCAGACCATGAATCTGCTGGCGCCTTGATGTTGGACTTTTCAGCCTCCAGAACTGTGAAAAACAAACATTCGTCGTTACTAAGCCAGCCTATGGTATTCTGTTATAGCAGCCTGAACAGACAAAGACAGACATTGGTACTGAGGATCAAGATGAAAGTACCTGCTCAAGTTCACACAGGTGACAAGCAGCAGAAGTGAGTTTCAAGCCAAGGATGCCTAATGCCAGGGCCAAGGCCATCTCTTCAGCACTCAGCACTCAGCAGTGGGTGCGCTTTCTGATCAAAGTCCTGGGAAGGAAGAACAGGACTCACGAGAGATGGAGGATGTAATTTGCAGTGTCTGGCTCTAAATCATGGCAGTCACAGCAAAAGTCCTGTATTTGTATTTAGCAAGCACTGACATTAGAGTTGCCTTCCATAAAGCAAGGATATGAGAGTGCGTCAGAGTGCGCTAGCATGTTAAGTGGGGCTTTTAGCTTTAAAAGTAGCACTTGAGCCAGGCGCGGTGGCTTACGCCTGTAATCCCAGCATGTTTGGAGGTCGAGGCCAGTGGATCACAAGGTCAGGAGTTTGAGACCAGCCTGGCCAAAGAGACCAGACTGGCCGATATGATGAAACCCCATCTCTACTAAAAATACAAAAATTAGCCGGGCATGGTGGCAGGTGCTGTAACCCCAGTTACTCGGGTGGCTGAGGCAGGAGAATTGCTTGAACCCGGGAGGTGGAGGTTGCAGTGAGTCAAGATCGCATACTGCACTCCAGCCTGGGTGACAGAGGGAGATCGACTCTAAATAAATAAATAAATAAGGTAGCACTTGAGCCCTGGAGGTCAAGATTACAGTGAGCCGTGATTGTATCATTGCTTTACAGCCTGGGCAACAAAGTGAGACCCTGTCTCAAAAATAAAAAAAAAGAACTCTCTATAGTTTGCGTATTAGTCAGGGTTCTCTAGAGGGGACAGAACTAATAGGATATATATATATGTGTATATACACACATACACATACACACACATATATATATATATGAGTTTATTAACTCACATGATCACAAGGTCCCACAATAGGCCGTCTGCAAGCTGAGGGGCAAGGAGAGCCAGTCTGAGTCCCAAAACTGAAGAACTTGGAGTCTGATGTTCAAGGGCAGGAAGCATCCAGCACAGGAGAAAGACATAGGCTGGGAGGCTAGGCCAGTCCAGTCTTTTCACGTTTTTCTGCCTCCTTTATATTTTAGCTGTGCTGGCAGCTGATTAGATGGTGCCCACCCAGACTAAGGGTGGGTCTGCCTTCCCCAGCCCACTGACTCAAATGTTAATCTCCTTTGGCAACACCCTCACAGGCACACCCAGGATCAATACTTTGCATCTTTCAATCCAGTCAAGTTGACACTCAGTTTTAACCATCACAGTTTGTAACTTGAGCAATGACATGTGAACTAGCAAAATGTCCTATATCCACTGTTACTTCTTTGTGCCCAATCAATGAATGCAAGTATGTCTCCGAGGACTCATGCCAGCCTGTCCATCACCGGTCAAAGAATTAAAACAATATCCTACAGCAAAGTTTCAGGAGACACCAGGGATCCTACAAGCTGGGACTTCATTTGGGAAGCCAAGTGGTGAGCCAATCCTCTATTGCTGCCCTCACCTCACAGCTCAGTCCTTACGGGAGTCAGAACTACCCAAACTCAGCAAACCGTCTAGTACAGAACCTTGAGCAAATGGTTCCTGTTCCAGTCTAACGCTGCCTGCTGCTGCCGCCTCTGCCATCTATGCAGCCTCCCCAGCCTCCAGTCTCTCTCTGCCCATGCCAATTGTCCCTTTCTGGACTGCTCAGGTCCTAGCAGTCAGATTTCTGCTCAATTTCTAGCTCTGGACACTATGTCCCGTTACTGTGTATGGCTCTGTGTTTCCCAGACGATGGAGAGAGAAATGTGACTTAGTCAAAATGGAACAAAAATTAAAACCAACCAATCAGCTAACCAACTAAAACACACACAATTTTAAAACCATACACTTTCATACATACACTCAGCTAGTCTAATACCACGGGGACACATACGAAAAAAAACCTCTCCTGCTTCTCTTTATCACCATAAAGTTTCTTCAGAGCACTTATAAAAGCACCTGGCACATTAGACATTTATTTGTAGTTTATTGCCTTCCCCCACCCTCTACAGATTGTAAGTTCTAAGAGAGCAGGGACTTTTATCTCCCTCACCTTTAACAGCGTCCCGTCCAATGTGAGGACGTCATACATTTATTAGAATTGGAATGACACCAGCTGCACTCCTTTCCACTCTTTATTTTCAAGGTCACCCCCTGAGGTTTTCTTTAACCTCATTGAACTCACACCCTAAAGTCAGAGGAAGAGGTATCCCCTTGTGCCAGACCCAGGCTGACTATATTATTACACACTCTTCTCATCCTTCGAGCCTTAGATGAGGTGACCATCACACATTTTCACTCCATTCCACATTAGTTTCCGGAGCTGCACTTTCCCACATTAGTTTCCCATCAGTTGACCAAGCATTTAGTTGGGCTCTGAGCTCTTAAAAACATAAGGAGAATCTAATTTTGAATAAAAACACCGGGCCATACTGAACAAACCCAGGGAAGAAGTGGTGGTCATTCTTTTCCTGTCCCCCCAGCTGTGTGGCTGGACGAGGCTTCCTGCAAATCCTAATCACTTTACCTCCTCTGATATGATTAAATAAAAAAAGCTGGGGTACAAAGCCTAAACAGAGTGGCTCTGTTGCTCTGGCTACACATCTTTTTCTTTTCAAAGTGCAATCTAGTAATAACCAAAAGCAGTCTGCAAATGCAAATCCAACTGTTTAACTAATTGTGTTCTCACCCCTGGAGTAATGGAAGCTCATGCTGTAGAGGAAAATCTGAACTTCGCATGACCCAGGGTTCTGGGTTCTCAAGGCAGGCCTGCATAGAGCATCAGCTCTGAGGAAGCTCGCTCAAAGGAAGGAGGTGGACCAAAGAGAGATGTGCATGGGTGATCAAGTGGGAACAGAAGACAAACGCCATGGCTGGTACAGTGGCTCATGCCTGTAATCCCAGCACTTTGGGAGGCTGAGGCAGGCGGATCACTTGGGATAAGGAGTTTGAGACCAGCCTGGCCAATATAGAGCGAAACCCCATCTCTACTAAAAATACAAAAAAAAAAAAAAAAAAAAAAATAGCCAGGCATGGTGGCGGGTGCCCGTAATCCCAGCTACTGGGGAGAGTGAGGCAGGAGAATCACTTGAACTCGGGAGGTGGAGGCTGCAGTGAGCCAAGATCGGGCCACTGCACTCCAGCCTGGGTGACAGAGCAAGACCCACTCTCTTTCTCTCTATATATAAATATATTCTATGAAAGTAGGTCTCCTCTATAACAACATTCATGAAGTAATGTTGATTTTGACTGACATATATAAAAATAAAACTCCTAAGTTTGGCAGTATTTACTGGAGATATACTACCCGATTCATTACTAAAAATGTGATAAAGAGTTTAGTTATGTTCGCGGTATGGTTTGTTGTGGAAGGGCACACGTTTATCTCTTTTTTCTTTTTGAGAGAGAGTCTTGCCCACGCTGGAGTGCAGTGGCTCAATCTTGGCTCATTGCAACCTCCGCCTCCCAGGTTCAAGTGATTCTCCTGCCTCAGCCTCCTGAGTAGCTGGGACTACAGGCGCGCCACCATGCCCAGCTAATTTTGTATTTTTAGTAGAGAAGGGGTTTCACCATGTTGGCCAGAATGGTCTTGATCTCTTGACCTCGTGACCCACCCAACTCAGCCTTCCAAAATGCTGGGATTACAGGCGTGAGCCATAGCACCCGGCCACGTTTATCTCTTTTTATGTACTTTTTTGTTTGTTTGACAGTCTTGCTCTTTTTTAAACAACAACAACAATAAACCTTCTAGAAATGAGGTCTCACTATGTTGCCCAGGCTGGTGTTGAACACCTAGGCTCAGGCAATCCTTCCATCTCAGCCCTCCACCATTACTTCTAAACAATAAAACCAGTGTTATGGAATAGTTCGGGTGGGAAAAGCTTGAAGTCTCTGGTCTTCTTGCTTTCATGGTGCCGGGTGCCCAGGATGACTATTTGCATAGGATTTGCCAGATGAGCGTGTGGAAAGGCGTGTCTTCACAGGTGTGCCCCTAACTTTGTGCCTTCCTATCAAGGGACGCATGGTTGAAGGGCTGCAGAGAGAGCTGTACCCAGGCTTCACATTTAAAAGAATATGGAAAACTCATTACTTACAACATTGCCTGAGTTCAAATCCTGGCTTTTCCACATACTAGTGCGTACTCTTAGCCAAGTTATTTCTTCCATTGTTTATTAAAATATAACTTCTGTTTTTAAATGAAGTCATACATACACATGGTCAAAAACTTTGACAACAGGATCTGGTGAATCTTTCTCAGAAGTTTTCTAGGCATGTATAACATATTTCCTTTTTTTTTTTTTTTTTTTTTTTTTTTTACGTAAATGTACCATACATCATGTTCTTTTCTCTTTCTTAACACCTCTTAAAATATTTCCTTCTTACGGGCTTTCTAGTATCTTGTTTGAATGGATGTACTTCATTTACTGAAACAGTCCTGTTAACAAACACATAGGTTGTTTTCTGGTTGGAGTTAGGACCGAACAATCTTTGATGAACACCTTTGATCACTTGTACAAGTTTGACAGGATAAACGCCTAGGAGGGCTGCTGGGTCCAAGGCTATGGTCATTTTCGATTTGAGTATTACCAAAAGCGCAAGTTTTTTAAGTCAGCCCTGATTCACTCTTCTTTGTAAACAGTGGATAATAAAGAGCTTCTCAAACGTTTCTTATGAGGATTAAATGAGATGGGGATGTAAAAGCCCAGTATATAGCAAGCAGGCTGTAAATGAATATTGGCCTCCATCTTTTTTTATGGAGAAAGACAACTGTTTATGCATATTATGATGACTATAGCTTAACCATGAGCTCAACAAACACAAAAATTCACAGAAAATTCTGCAATACCGTATCTATTTTAAACCACATTATTGAATGTAATTAGTGAAATCTCAGGTCAAATAGAATGTATTTAAGAAGACACAGACTTGACATTAACTCTAAATGCCAGAGTATTTAAGATTTGATAGTTGTCTCTTCTTACAAATATATCCCTCATAATAAAAAAGCACTCCACTAATATGCCAATTATGATACATCTTCCAGTTGTGTTTTGTCCTTGAGCGAAAAATCTTGCTGCTCAATCAATTCAAGTCATTCGTTTATTCATAACACCCATATATGTATCTCCAACTCTGGAGAGAAACACTGACAGAAAGATGGAAAATTTTAGAGCCCTCGCTTCCACCTCAGAGAGCCTGTTGTCCCCTAAACCTCTTGGGCCCTCGGGCATGTTTAAACTTATCAAGATTCCAGAATGAGGTTAACGGGACGTCACAAAACGAACCCCCCACCGTCCCGTCCCAGGGGCTCCAAGCCAGGACCCCAGCCTGAGGGAGCCTCCGGGCAGGAGGAAGAGGCCCAGGAAGCCATTGCTCGGTTCCTTCCCGGCTGTTTACGTGGCACTCAAGGTGCTCGG